GCTACTCTGGAGTTCCAGAGAGATTGTCCATATGTCCTGCTGGTCGGGTAAGCGTTCTGATTGGCTCAGCGGCTGAGATGGGCGGGAAAAAAAAGGGTTTGCTGGAAAGGCTGTTCATGGGGGAAGGTGTAACAGGGAGAGAGTGAGAGGGAATATAGTCTTTTGGGACACAGTTTGTTACAAAGGGTATGAAATATTGAAACTCAAAGGTGTATACTCCACAGGCTCCCAGCCCACGTTCCTGGGTGTACTTCTCACAGTAAAAACTTGTACGTCTGGATAGTGGGGCGCCATGGATAAGTATGGCATATAGTGTAGAGTCTGAGATGTCAGCTGTTGTGTGAGTGCACCTGCCCTATCATTTCGGCACCTAAAGATCCCCACTTTGAAGGTGAGTGTCACCCATGTTCAGCAATGCATTAGTCATTGTGGAGTAGCGATGGCCCTAGGTGCATCAGGTGTGGTTCTCTCGGGGGGCCCAATCTGCGCTAATGTCGTGGGCATGTGAGTTCACCATCTCTATTGTTGCAGTTCCTGGGGTCCCCCACCACATGGCTTGTAGTCACAAATTTCCAGTTAAGCTGTTGACATTGTCGAGCAGAATGGGGCAGGGTAGTCCCAGGTGTGTCAGGCACTGTTCCCCAGAGTGGCCCTTACTGTGTTTGTGTCATGTGCAGTCACGGTTATTGCTCTACAGTCCGGTGGGTCATCAGTCAGCCACCTTTGTCTCTCCCCGGTCTTCTGTTCAATGCATTATTGGCGTAGGGGCCTAGACAGGACACATTTGTGTATTAGTGAGGATAGGTAGGTCAGAGCAGCATTGTGTAGAGATTTGTAAGCGAGTACAAGGATCTTAAGTTGAGCACTGAATCTTATGGAAGCCAATGTAGGGACTGACAGAGGGGGAAGACGTGGGAGGTGCGGGAGACAGGAAGATGAGCCTTGCCACCTCATTCATAATAGACTTAAACGGGATAGGTTGGGGAAAAAGTAAGACCACTCAGAAGCGGATTATAGAAGTCAAGGAGAGAGAGAACAGAGAGGCGAGATAGTGAATACAATACAATAAAAAGGTGAGAGCACGCAGTATATATAAATACCACAAATGTTGAATTATGTGGAATCTAAAAATAACAAGAGAAGACCATAGCGTTATACAGTAAACATATGAAAATATATATGTGCTTGCTGGTCCAACTCACATGTTTCTGAGCCACATTAACAAAGCTGTCTCAGACTATAAATTTTAACTGGAGGACCCAGTGGATCCAGGGAGTGGGTCTAGATAATTCTTTGTCCCTCCGTCTTACACCATACATAGATCCAGGATGCAGGAAAATAGGTGAAGAAAAATACTTTATTGGACAAAATAATATAAATAAAATCAGACCTCACTTACAATACAAAAGTCCACTGGCTTGTGTGCTTAATTTCAGGTGGTCAGAGCAATTTCCCCACAATTCTCACCTTTCCTCCGTGTTCCTGCGAAGCCTCCTTTCACTTTTCCCGAATGTCCTATCAGTTAGACAGAATGCCTGCAAAACTACCGAATTGCATCCTAACAGAATGAGAACAGTTTCTCCATTCGTGTTAGGACGCAATTCGGGACTTTGTTTGGATTGGAATTTAATTCGAATGAATGAAACTCCGATCCTATTTGCGCCGCGGCTGCATCTTGCAGCCGCTTAGTTGATAACTCCCTAATTCCCACGGTATCAGGGAGATATCTACCAAAAGGCTGAAAGACCTGAATTGGTCGTTCAGCCAAATTTACTAATACTAAGTAAAGATTATTTTGTTTTAGTAAATTCTGCCTCTACTTGCTATACCGCGAGTAGGGGCATGTCCACTAAACAGTGAGCAACCCTGAGCTGCAGGTGGGGGCTATAAATTTGTTACCCCCCCTCTCCACGGTGACTAGGGGTCCCCAAGCCCCTAGACACCTCCCCCACTACCCCTCTCACCCTAAAAATAGCAAGGGGAGAATAAAATAACTAAATACCTGTACAAAAATAAATAAAACTTACCATTTGAAGTCTTCTTTTTTCTAAAATCTTCATTTTTCAGCCCCAAAAAAGCCCAAATAAAAATCCATAATACCCGTCGAAGTTGTAAAAAGATAAATAAAAAAAGCTGAGTGCAAAAAAAAAATCTGGCGTAGGAAACCTCCATAAGACAAATAGTCCCTACTTTGTCTTATGTTTTAAAGAAAACTAGAGCAGACAGGAAGAAATGAAGAACAGATCCTGAGAGAGGGAGAGAAGAGAAATCGATTAAAGAAAGGTAAGTTCGACATGACAGTGCCGCTTTAAGTATAGATATACAGTTTCATTGAGATTACCAGAGGTGATGATCCTATTGGTTTGGCAAAGATCACTGCTGCAATTTTATGTTCCACAGTTCTTGTGTTTTCTAAATTTTTAGTTTATCATTTGTCCGTGGCAGGAGAGGGAACCCATTTAATTGCTTATTTATTGGCAAAGGAAGACATAGAGGTTTTGGATGAGCTAACAGTAAAGGCTCATCTATAGAGGCGATTGGGACCACGCCCCATCAGTTTTTATGTGGGATAAAAAATGTATTAGCAGTAGTTTAGAAACACTAAGCTTCTTTCTGGTGGTATGCTAAAAAATATGGGGGGAAAAATAAGTATCTAATCTAAACCTAGTCAGTGGTGTATTTTGTATTTGTAAATAAAATGGAACAGGAGAGCGCAAACGTAGTAGCTTAAAATTCCTTACTATAATAATATGGTTTAGCAGCTATACACAAATAAAGTTCCTTAAAAGTCTTTATCTAGAAATGGTTCATAAAAATAAGTGTCAGTGCTATACATGATAGCCTGATAGTAGACAATCAAATGAATGTGCAAAATCAGCAACTTGTCACTGTGGATTAATAGTAGTATGTTAACCTCTATACATCACAATAAATTCTTTCATACACATAAAATGTTAAAAACTTGCTTAAAAAGTCCAAAAGTTCTGAGTAAAAGTCTTTAGGGGGTTAATCTTGTGTTGCTGCAGAATTGTAGTGCACTGTAGCTCAATGTAGCTTATACCTTAAAAGGATACAAAAAAGCTTTCCATAGTGTAAAACTGCTTTATTCATATAAAAAGATTCCCTTGCCCCCCAAATAGAAACTCTTACATTAGCAAGTAGTGGTACACGTCTCAAAGATACCACAAACACATTTAGCAAAGTCAGAGGTTTTAACAGCCGTTTACCGTCCACTGGTCCTTGCAGTACAAACTCCCACCCGATCTCAGTGCTGATAAGGTGGAGTAAATCGTGTAGACTGGAGACCTTGGTGTGTTGTCCAGGTAGAGCAGGCTGTCCACATCAGACCTCTGTATCCTGAGTACCGATCAACGCGTTTCGCCCGCTATACCGGGCTATTTCAAGAAAGCTTTTTTGTATCCTTTTAAAACCTAGTAATTGGTTTCCGTTCTGTTCAGCATCCTGCTGCTTTAACTCTGTGTATACTGTGTGGTCAGAGCTAATTGTTAGTCAGGAGTAGCTGACATGTTTAGAGTCTGCCAGTATCTTCATGCTTTAACCATGTGCACATTGTATGCTGAGAAATAATTGAATAACAGACGTGTTTCAGAACAGCAGAAATATTTAATAGAAAGCAAAAGGTATCATAGCAGGAACACTACTAAAGATGAAATCATGAGAGGGGGAGCTAAGAGAGGACTGGGAAGGTAGAGAGAGCGCTAAAGCATTTTATAGAGACATGTACTGTGTGGGAATCTCTGCATTGCAACGCTGTGTAATCCATCAGTGATTCTGGCTGTCTGGGATAGTATCTCTTTATTGTGTACAGCTCTGTGTGTTATTTCTCTGTGTTTTACTCAGCGCTACCAGATATATGGGTATCTATGTAGTCTACCCATCCATGTGTGTTGTGAGTTATCTTTGTGTAGTGCCCAGCTCTGTGTATTATAGCTTTATTTTTTTCTCAGCTCTGTTTGTGGAATGGTCATCTCTGTATTGTACTCAGCTATATGTATTTTATAGATATCTTTTTGTTGTGCCCAGCTTATTTTATTGTATTATGTACAGCTGTCTGATTTGTGTGAGTGTCTCTGTACTGTAAAAGAGGATTCAAATTCTGGGGGTGAAGTCTTGAAACTTCACCAGCTGCCATTGTTAGCCAATTTTAAAATATTACTTGGCATATTCATAACAGTATTTTTTTTATTCTGGATAGTTTTGACTTCTTCTTTATGGTATTATGTTTTTTAGCCTCTTCTTTAGCTAAACTCTGTTCCAACTCCTCAACTTGGTTGCGTTCTCTTTGGAGCATGGTTAGAAATAGTATTCTCTCTTTACATCGTTTGAAAGCAGAATCCTGTTCCTTCACAGCTTGTTTGTGCTCCTGATCCCGTAATTCCTGAATCTTAGTAGTTTCTTCAAATATACGTTCTTCAATTGCATGAATGTCTTTTAGCTCATTTAACAAGTCATGAAACCTGGTTAGTGGTTTCATTATAGAACAATCTGGAAAGCTATTACTGCTATTAACTGATCGAGGTGAATCACAGCTTTTATTACACATCTCCACATTCAAACTAGAAGGAATACTTTTTTCTTTAAATATATTCTCCAGTAACTTGTTAGGCATCTCCTGTATGTGAAATTAAATAAATGAATAATAATAAAATAAATAAATTAATTAAAAAAACCAAATAAATTATTTATACATATATTTGTAAGCAATTACATTTTAATTATTATTGCTAGCATTACACTGATATATACACCTTACAAAGAATGTGTACCATGTTGAATTGAGAACATTAAGAAAAAACTATCGTGCCAGGAATACAAAGCTGTATTCCTGGCACTATCGCTCCTCCTGCCCCACTCCCGTCCCCCTCCCCAGATGGGTGAACAAAGGGTTTTAAAACCTTTTATTTACTCAGCGCTGGGTTTGGCTCAGCTCCCTCCGACAGACCGTGATGAGCAGGTGCTAATGAGCATGTGCGGCAAATACTGACGCTGGATGTCCTCATGCAGAATCTGAGGACGTCCAGCATCAGATACCGGACCAAAGGTCTGTTACGATTCAGGAATCCCTCCAGTGGCTGTCTGCTAGGCAGGCACTGTGGGCAGACTTGGTGCTGCAATGTAAACATTGCAGTTTCTCTGGAATTGTGATGTTTAACATTGCAGCACTAAGTGCAAAAGGGACACTGTAACGAGACCACTTTAATGAGCTGAAGTGGTCTGGGTGCCTACAGTGTCCCTTTATGATGAATTGTCACCTCATCTAATATATATGCTTTTAAGTGGCAGAACTTTGTTTTTATGTATGTGTGAATGGATTCAATGACCTTTCAAGAGTTCAGTACATGTCTGAATCTGCAGAAGTATGTTATTTTCCACCAAAGGGTAGGAATAGATGATTTTTAGATGTTGGCTATGCTATTTAATAACTGTAAAGACAATGTACTGCAGATGGGTCGTCGACTGAATGTAAAGGTGGGGAGAGTTGAACATCGTGAAGAGATGAAATGGCCTGTCTGAACTAGCTATTCCTTTACTCAGAATTGTGCTTTGGTTGTTGTGGAATTCTGTTATCTCCCTAGTTGACTTTGTTTGCATAATTGTGGCAAGGCACTTGCCATTGAATGATCTAGTGCAGAGGTAGGCAACCTACGGCACTGGTGCCATGCACGGCACTCAAGGTGTCTTTGCACGCCACTCAAGGCTGCTAGAGCCAAACAGGAGTCCCAGTGAAACTTCAGATATCTGCTAATACGAAAAGGTGGTGAAGGACAATCCTCAATTTATATATTGCAGCACGTAGAGGAAGTGACCTCAGATCACTTCGTCCCAGCACGTGTGAATGGGAATCCACACTGTGGTAGAGCAGCCCACAGCGGATATTGCAGCTCCTGCCCTTCACCTATACCTAGCCAGCCTGGTCTCCACTGGAACCTATGGAAGCCGCCTACACTGCTAGATATACACAGAAATGCACAATAACCCTCCCCTCATACAAATAATACAAACAGCCCACACACAAACATACACACAATCCGCACAAACGTGACCCGCTAACAATTCACATACATGCACACAACCCCACATGAAGCCTCTCACATGCAATACCCCAAACAGCCCCCACACATACACACACTACCAAACATGCAATGTGACATATCCATCCACACACACAATTCCACAAGCAGCTCCCATACACAGCCCACATTCATAGGTACACGATACTACAAACTACTCCTGAACATATACAATATAATAGCTCATATATGCACAAATACAACGATACAAAGCAATTACAATATAAATGACACCAGCAGAATACAGCAGCATACACACCTCAATTTAAAAAAATAGGACCGGCACGCTATGGGACATCACAATCCTATAACGACACAGTGCTGCTAAAAGGTTGACTACCCCTGATCTAGTGCCTATTCCACATTACTGAATGCTTCGTCCACCCCTGTGCTTGGATGACTTGATTAACACATATTTGTGTTTGCTTACATACATTTTTGAGACCAGGATTTGCCTTTTTGGGTTGGATTGTGCAACGCTATTTTATATATTTTATCATCCCCTTTTCAGATTTAACATCTCCAACTATCGCCAGGACATACTTAAAAGCATGAAATCTCAATGTGTTCCTCCTGGTAAGATATTTCAATATTGTATTGATCTTATACTCATCATACATGATTAAACCTCTTTGGAAAAGTTTTTTTATGTTGTAAATCAGTTTAGCAAATAAAATGTGAGCAGGAGACACTATCCAACCTGATCAGTAATTGTCTTTACTTCATTGATGTCTCCTATTCCACACTTTGCAGCGCACAATTCTGTTTGGTACAGAAGATTCTCCAATTCCTGCTCCTGTCTCAGTGCCAGTTCCTCTTCCTGTGAAAATGCCCACAAATTTCCTTATTAGTATGGGGTTACAGTAAAAATCCTGTTGTTATGTCATTAAAAGGATTGATGTGAAGATCACTGTTGACTCAAAATTAACAAAAATAATTTGTTGAGTGATATGTTTCTTCTAAGATTGTAAATAATGTCTTAAAAGCACAACCTACATATAGAAAAGCTCTTCATGTATCACATTTTAAAAGGTTACTCCAAGCACCATGGACGCTTCTGGAATTTGAAGTGGTCATAGTACTTGGAGCCTCTATGTGCAGCATATCACTCTGTCGATCAGCGATCAATGACAGTGTGACTCCTCTTCGTGCCACCCTAAGTCCACCCACAGTCCTAACGAACTCTAAAACAACAGGTTAACTCATTAAGGAACAAGGCTATTTTTATGATACTACGGGTTTGTGACTAAGGTCTTTTTAGTACTTTTCCCATGTATTTATTCATGGGAAAAGTACTGGGTGCCTACAGTGTCCCTTTATGATGAATTGTCACCTCATCTAATATATATGATTTTAAGTGGCAGAACTTTGTTTTTATGTATGTGTGAATTGATTCACTGACCTTTCAGGAGTTCAGTACATGTCTGAATCTGCAGAAGTATGTTAGTTTCCACCAAAGGGTAGGAATAGATGATTTTTAGATGTTGACTATGCTATTTAATAACTGTAAGGACAATGTCCTGGAGATGGGTTGTGGAGTGAATATAAAGGTGAAATGGCCTGTCTGAACTAGCTATTCCTTTACTCAGAATTGTGCTTTGGTTGTTGTGGAATTCTATTATCTCTCCAGTCTACTTTGTTTGCATAATTGCGGCAAGGCACTTGCCATTGAATGATCTACTGCCTATTCCACATTACTGAATGCTTTGTCCACCCCTGTGCTTGGATGACTTGATTAACACATATTTGTGTTTGCTTACGTACATTTTTGAGACCAGGATTTGTCTTTTTGGGATTGTGCAACACTATTTTATATATTTCATCATCCCCTTTTCAGATTTAACATCTCCTACTATTACCAGGACATACTTAAAAGCATGAAATTTCAATGTGTTCCTCCTGGTAAGATATTTTGATACAGTATTTATCTTATAATAATCATACATGATTAAACCTCTTTAAAAAAAGTTTTTTTTATATTGTAAATCAGTTTAGCAATTAAAATGTGAGCAGGAGACACTATACAACCTGATCAGTAGTTGTCTTTACTTCATTGATGTCTCCTATTCCACACTTTGCAGCACACAATTCTGTTTGGTACAGAAGATTCTCCAATTCCTGCTCCTGTCTCAGTGCCAGTTCCTCTTCCTGTGAAAATGCCCACAACTGCCTTATTAGCATGGGGTTATTGTAAAAATACTATTGTTATGTCATTAAAAGAATTGATGTGAAGATCAAAATGCTTTCTGTGGGGAGCTGCAAGAGGAGAACCTGCTGTAGTAAGCACACAGTGATATTATGAGTGGGGTGCTAGGTTAAGGGGTATACTCTTATCTATTATAACTTTAGGTATACATGTTTAGCATCTGCTTAATCATTCCTGCAGCTGTGCTAAGTCTGGTGTCCTTTGGAGTGTCAAAATTCCTTGTGATTTTGGCAGATTATGTCAGTGTTTGGGGCTTGTCATCCAGGAGTGGAATGGAGCTTATATGTTAGTTGTTCCCCTATATGTTGGCAAGGTCAGAGTCCTAATAGTCCCCACATACCCGCTGGTGTTAGTGAGAGGTGAGGCCTCGGACGGTGTGAGTGTTCTCTTGGTGGTAAGCTGAGCTTGCATGTGGAGTATACCCTTGTAAAATTATCCGATGTGCGGAAGGAGCTCGCCGTTTGTCTTCTGGCTGCTGTCAGGTTACGGTGTTCTGATCTGCTCCGGTCAGGAGACGGTGCCCAGCCATTGTTCTGGTGCTTCCTCCTCTCTTCTCTGTCTCTCAATTAGCGCGGTGGCCATTTTAATTTTTGTCATGCGGTCCCCGGATGGTCTTTCTGCCGCCTAGGTGTCCCAAGTAACCACTGCCTCCCCGGTGGGGTCCGGGATAACCCCCCCGGCCCACAGGGGGGGTAACGGGGCCTCAGTAGGCGTGCGAGTGATCCTGCCGGACTAAGCATGGGAGATCGGCCGCAACACGGACTGAAGGGCAGATGGGTTTGCTCACAGCAGGCAGCAAACCCATCTGCCCTTCAGTCCGTGTTGCCAGCAGGCACCGAGGGTTGTTGGTCAGGTCCCCTTTTCCCTCTCACAGCAGCTAGGGGTTTTTGCAGGTGAGAAAGGGTAATTTTAAGCCATTTATGGAGGGTTCTTAACGGAGCCGAGGTGCCCCACGTCCATCCAGCTTGGCGGTCAAGCCCCGCCCCCCCATAAAATGTTAACTTTTGGTTTTTTGTTCTATTGTTCGTCAGTATAGACCCTGCTTTCTCTGCAACTAGTTTTTTACTGTAGCAAAGAAAAGAAGAAGAAATCTGTCCCTAAAAACTATATATAGATATAGTTAATAACTTTAAAATCTCAAAAATACTTTATTAAACAAAAAAGACTCACATATACTTTGCAAAACAAACCCTGACAGTAGCTACCTGACTCAAGATTGCGAGTTAATTACAGTTATCTAAGTAAGGAACACAAATAAAGGGAAATAAAGGGAAAGGGAAGCAGGG